CGGACTAACTATGACATTGGGACGTCAAACATCTCAGTCCCCCCCGTGACCATGGGCGCTGTAAAGCACCCGAAACGTCGGGATAATAATAAAAATAAATTAAAGTAATTAAACGCGATAAAATCCGTAAATAATAGTTTTATTCAATGTGTAGTGTTCGCGTAAATTTAAGAAATCATTAAGTATACATTTTTATTATCTCTGTAACCTGTGTTTTACTTAATCTTTTATTCTTATATTCGCTAGCTATGACACATATTTAGTCTATTCATTTACAAAAAAATAGTATAAATAATATTTTATTTCACAATTAGCTTCACATTTTTAAATCACATCTATAAATCTTTAGGAACTTTCACATTGGAATTGCACATCAAACACCTACCCATAAAAACAACATTAACTGTTTTATTTCTCTCATATATAATATAATTTACGTTGCACATATTTCTGTTTGTAAATTAATAAAACAGAATACTAACTTAAAATATTTTCCGAACCTTATTACTATTATTATTTTATAAAAAGTAGTTTTAAACCTCCCATATCGGCAGTATCGGCAGTATCATCAGCATACGTCACTGACTGACTAATGACTGATATTATTAACTTTTTTGTTATTGCCTTAATTTTTATATTAAATTTCTTATTAACAGATTTTTCTGATTGGGTTGGAGGGGTATTGGGGACTTCAATTAAATTTTTTTTGGATTTTCTACTTTTTCTTTGATATTCTTTCCACTTTTCTCTTTGCTCAGTTTTTTCTGTTATGCTCACTTCGGAAACTTTCCTTTTTTTTAATTTTATTCTTTCTATATTGCGCTTCCGCTGAGCTTCATACTCGTCAGGCATTGAGTTATAATGTACTACGTACTAGAGAAGCTATTCCAAACAAAAATTGTGCGCTACTTCTATGTCTTCGCGCATGCGCGGTAATAGTAGAGTCGCGCATGCGCAGTTGGTATAAACGCGCTTTGCGCTTGCGCGGTCAGTTTTTGTTATTATAGATTATACGTAAGTAGAATGGTCAGTATGTAATAATTGTTTATTTATATTGTATTGTTAATTATATCGAGTACTTACAATTTTTTAAATTGTTTTTTATTTTGTATATGTGCTAATTTAATATAATATTACATAATATTATGTCAGAATTACATTTTGATGATATTGTTATCTGAATATTTTAAAAGGTATCTATGTCAAATATAAAAAAACGTACTAAATGTATGTTTAACAAAACTTATTAACATAAAATTTAAATTACAAATATATTTATTTAAATTAGAATCATAAATGTTGTAAATAATCGTTCATAAATGCTGGGCACGCGAGAGTTAAAAATGGGCGAATTTATTCCACTTTGACTTTGAAGTGGAAACCTAAAAATAAAATAAAAGAATAATAAGCAGATTTAAACATGAAAAATTTAGCTTAATTATAATAACTTATATGTTTCTACAAAAAAAAAATGTGTAGTATAATAATATATTCGTCCTAAACTTAAGTACCCACAGAAATGTCGCATCTGAACATATTAATTTCATAATCTATATTCAATGATACGAGATGGCGTCTTAGGAATAATTTGCTTTATTATTAATTTATAATACTTTTTTATTGAACAAGTATCTTATTAACCGATGAAAAGTAATTCCTTGGTTTTTACTGACATTTCTTGAATTATTTGTGCAATATCTAAGTACACAAGACGGCATATTTTTATCAAGAGATTTTTTTTTAAATCAACACAACACGTGACAACTCTACAAGCGCCTAGCGAGTGACTGATTAAAGTGCAGTGCATGCACCGCAGTTGAGTGGAACAGAGTAGCTGAATGCAGTGTCTCCTCTAGTACGTAGTACATAATAGCTCAATGTCGTCAGGCCGTTCTTTTTTCAACTTTTCTCTATACCTTTTCATTTTGTCAGCTGCAGCGAGCGGCATTATAAAGCCTAAAAACATCAGTAACTAATTAATTTGAATTTCAGTAAAGCTCTATAATTATCAGCTTCTTATGATAAAAATACATACCCAAAAATTTATTTTTAATCATGTAACTCAAACGAATGAATTATTAGTAATAATTCGTGACAAAAGACAACAATATAACTTATAAAGATCAAATTGTAGTAAAATGAATAAATTTAAATGATTAAATGAAACCAATATAAGAATTTTTAAATGAGATTTAAAGTATTAAATAAAATTAATATAAGAATTTTTAAAATTTAAATTATTAAATAAAATCAATATAAGAAGTTTAAAATGAAATTTAAATTATTAAATAAAATCGATATAAGAAACAGCACCGTGTAATCGTCACTTTAGCAGTCAGTTTGGTTACTTTCTTGGTCAGCCTAAACGTTACTATGAACACGGTAACCAAACTGAAGTAACGTTTTGCGGTCCTCGTATATTTTATTGTTTAAAAAAAGAAAACAGTGAGTATATAAGCATTTGTAATAGTTTATTTAGATTGTAATGCATGACTCTAAATACTATAATACGTACATACATATTAAAAATCATTTAAAATTCGATAACTTACCTTGACAATAATATTGGAGTAACTCTCGTCCTTTTAGACTATCACAACTGAATACTGTTTTAAAAAAAATGGCAGTTTGATAATTGAACGTTCGTGTTGCCATTACCATGAATAAAAATGTGTAGTAGTTTAAAATGAGTAACAATACTTGACATGTTAGGTGACCCTAAATTACGACCCGATATTTAAAATTATTTCTTAATTATTATACATAATATACTGCAAGTTAATGTGTTTTATTACGTATAGATATCACTGTTTATGATTTTTAAATTATAACTGTCGTATGCTTTCATAGGAAAAAGGAAAGTAATTTCAAGATTTTGTTACCATTTTACTCATGGGACAAGTAAATCAGTGATCTTTCATTATTAAAAAAAACTCTTGTTAATTAATTGGTTGCATAAATATCTATTACTATTATTTTAAGTACTAGTTTACAAATTGAGTTACCATGTAAATCCAGTATTTTATTCCACACTACGATAATCGTAGTAAAAATAATATAATATTATAAAATATAAAAAGTAGTAAAGTAAAAATAATATAATAATATAATATATAAAAAGTAAATATAATATTTAGAAAAAAAATATTTAATTATATGGGACACACCGATTTAAGAGGGGGTCAAAAAAATTGAAACCGCTCATTACACACCTACAATACAGCACATAACACTTCTTTGCTGAACTTGGACCTCTTCCATTATTAGAAAACTAAGACATTATTATTTAGAATTAACAAACACAAGTTGAATATCAAAAACTATTAAAATAAATGAAATATAGAAATTAGTTCAGACTTGGGTTATAAATTGTTCTTATGCAAAACAAAGACAGAGATAATGACATTAACCTAAATTTTATGTGTTTTTATAGTATTCTATTAGCGTTAACGATTGTAGAAAGTTAACTTGGCTAAGTCTACGTTGGTCTTTACCTATGAAATTGCCGGTCTGCGGTACTGGCCATTTCAAATCATAATAATTTTTGTTTGGCTAAGAGTTCTAATTTCAAATAAACAATGTTATTTTTTCAATGCATTTGAATCTTTTTCGTCATCATGGATACGTTAAAAAATTGAGTAATTATGGAATGTGAGTACCGTCGTGGCAGCAACGCGGCACAAGCGACACGCAACATCAACGACGTTTACGGACCGAATACTACAAAGGAACGCACTACGTGTTATTGGTTTTCCTGCTTCGGTTCTGGAAATTTCGACCTGAAAAATAAACGCCGTGGTTGACCAAAAACCGGTCGATCATGACGAATTAAATTCTATTTTGTAAGGTGATGATACTCAATCTACGGTTGGATGCAACATCTTTCGACGTTAGCTTTAAAAAAATATTTTTATTTGCGTCAAATTGGTAAGGTAAAAAAGCTTGAAAAACGAACGAACGAACTCAATGATCGCTAGCGGGAAGTACGCCTCGAGACGTGCCTTGTACTGCTCAGCGGGCACACAAACGAACGAATTTTGAACCGCATTATTACCTACGACGAAAAGTGGATTCTGTTTGACAATCACAAGCTCTCAGCAAGTTGATTGAATCCTAGTTCAGCACCTAAACAATGCTCTAAACAAAAACTTACCCCTGGAAAATCATGGTCACGGTTTGGTGGTCCAGCACCGGTGTGATTCATCACAGCTTCTTACCAAACTAAATGAGCTTTACTGCAGATGGGTACTGTGAAGTGCTGAACACTGTGATGGAGAAGCTCGCACTTCTCTAGCCAGCTTTGTTCAATCGCTCGTCCCCGCTGCTCCTGCACGACAACGCGCGACCTCGTACTGCACAACAGACGGTCGCCAGGTTACAAGCGCTGGGGTTGGAAGCTCTCCGTCATACGCCATACTCACCAGACCTTGTGCCTACAGACTTCTACTTATTCCAGAATTTGGATAACTTTATGGCGGAAAAAATCCAATACCTGAGAGGCAGTACAAACTGTCTTTGAAATATTTGTTACCTCCCGTCGAGCTGATTTCTTCAAGAAGGGCATCAATAAAATATGTTGGCCATGCATCGATTGCATGGGTGATTACTTTGAATAATAGAAATAAAAAAACAGAAAAATACGTTATCTTATTTCATAAAAAACGGCAATTTCATAGGTAAACACTTAACATTTAACTTCGAAGTAATTGACTATCAATAAAACAACGTTCGTCATGTAGTTTTGGCGTATAAGAATCCACTGCATGATGTCATCCTTTGGGTGTCGTAAGAGGCGAGGGGGGGGAATACTGTAACAGAAATGGGGAGATACATCATCCTGATAAAAACTAAAATTAATTTAAAAAAACTGCGCCTGCAAACCCGCTCGTCAAGCAACTATGGCAAATTTTTCGATTCGAGACCTGTGTTTAGCAGTTGCTTTAGATAGCATATAATAAATGGAAACAATGTTATCTGACTGTTTAAATATTTTTTTAAAGATAGTTCCGATTCTGAGATCTCGGGCCGGTACTCGCCGGTATGCAGCGAAGCGGACGGTGAAACCGAGGATAGAGCGGTTAATCTGACAACAAGTGATAAAGTACTCGAATTTGACGCCACCCAAGTAGCCCATGATTTGGACGAGCTCATTATGGATGATGATGAAAGTGTTGATGGAGAAGGGACGTCAGAAGGTAAATAATATGAATTATGTCATTTAGCTCCTATAATTAGTCCAGTTTAGTTATTATGTCATTTAGTTTACCATTTTTAGGGTTCCGTGGTCAACTAGTAACCCTTATAGTTTCGCCATGTCTGTGTCCGTCTGTCCGTCCTCGCTTAATCTCTGTGACCGTTAGTACTGGAAAGCTGAAATTTGGTACCAATATGTGTATCAATCACGCAGATCAAGTGGTAAAATAAAAATGTTTTATTAGGGTAGCCCCCCCTATATGTAAAGTGGGAAGTGATTTTTTTTTTAATTTCAACCCTAACGTGTGATATATTGTTGGAAAGGTATTTAAAAATGAATAGGGGTTTACTGAAATCATTTTTTGATAATGTCAATAATTTCAGAAATAATCGCACCAAAAGTAAAAAACAATGTGCCCCCCCCCCCTCTAACTTTTGAACCATAAGTTTATAAAATATGAAAAAAAATCCGAAAAGTAGAACTTTATAAGGACTTTCTAGGAAAATCATTTTGAACTTGGATGGAAACAACAGTACCCACTACCGGGAGCAGTTGCAGGAGCGCGGAGCGCTGCTGGAGCGCGAACATAATGGATACCCACCTTTAAACTCATAAGTGGGAACACTTATTGTGACGGACGGGAAACTACGGAACCCTACACTGAGCGTGGCCCGACACGCTCTTGGCCGGTTTTTAGGTTATAAATTCATCATCTAAACTGCTAAAATGTAGGAAGGGTTTGTTGTAATCGCCATATCGCGCAGGTGGAATGGCATTCGCAATACCTTTTTACAATTGCGCAGTACAATTTGCACCATTTACCAGTCTAAGTATTTTTGATTTATTATAAATACGAGATGGTTTACCGCCATTTATTGGAGGTCTATCTGGCTTTCCTTATAGTCCTCTTTAACGACTATCGAGACACGTTTTACATATCAGTCGTTGCAGATGCGACTGGTCCCGGGTCCTAATCCCAGATTGAGCTAAAAAATGAGTTATTCAGTTTTATCTGTCAAGAAATTCTCAGTAGTAACCCGGAGTCAGGAAGTTGGTGGTATTTCATTACTGTGCCTCGTGAAGCACATAAAGCCGTTGGTGCTGCGTCAGATCTCTCTGATCGTGTGAGTTTGCCGTCCCATCGGACTATGAGAGTGAGGGAACAATTTCCTTGCGCTCTAAACCAGTCCTGCGCAGATTAATGTACACGTCGACTGGCCAAAGTGACTGAAATTCGGTCTGGAGGACGGCACTTGTGACGGCGTAAGTGGATTCATCAGTCCATTTCGTCTGCAGTTACGCGAAATGCAGGAGTGGTATATATAACCATCTCGTTTACATCAGACGTTAAATATCCGGACTGGCGACGTGCAGCAGCATCAAAGGTGCGACAAGTTTGGTACTGATATCTTCAATTCCTCTGCCAAGTTCTACGATTTTAGTATTTACAAGATTAATTCATTTTTGAAATAATCATTTCGACGCGACGCGTTTTTAGGTGGAGATGAATATGCATTAAATCATGTCTTACACTCATGTCACACTGAGAAGTTGTCCTTTTTAAACTTCAAGCTATCTCTTTTGGTTATGGAGAAGATAATGCTTGGGGTTTCTCTGTCTCGAAAACATCGGCAGTAAAACAAGAGTAACGGTACGTTTACACCAAAACCGATTTTGTCGGCCGATGACGGACAGAGTTACCCGGACGAGTAACTCGGACGTGTATGTGCTTACACTGCAACAGTGTAACACTTGTGCCGACATTGGACGTTGCCGGTATTCCTTTCTATTTTTATATTTTCAATATCCATAGTCGTTTAGGTAGATAACAACACTGACAGAAAACAGAATAAAGACAAAATTATTAAATTAACCTATAAATACACTCAATTTGCACTGTAGACGCCGGCAGTCGGGCGAGAAATCCCAACAAGTTCGGAGTTCGGACTCGACGGTTGATCGGCCGTTTTCGTGCGTTATCGGACGATAACGATCGTGTTTGTGTAAGCGCTCTCTTTGCTTTACTAGTGTTTGATTCGATCGTCCGAGTTCGGCCGTCATCGCCCGAGCAAACTTCGGCCGATGACGGATTAGGTGTATGCGAAGCGTAACTTATATCCCACCGACTCAGTAAGACGAAGGGAACCCATTGTCACTTTAGTCGGGTTATATCTCTCGAAAGTAAGATTATCGAACGGAAGTCTCATACGGTAGAGCGAATTGTAGGCTGGATGTAAAGTAGTTCGACACACTAAATGAAACTTACGGACGGTTTTTAAATTACTGACTTATTTTATATTACTGACGTTCCGAGTACTTTACAGCATCCATGGTGATGGGGTACTGAGGTGTTCGATGTCCGATTGTCATAGTTAACCCGACCCTCTACCACTAGATGAGCAAGTAACAACGCCATGAAATACATATATATATAATATATAAATATAATCAAAAGCCGAAAATATTATATATAAATATTTTCGGCTTTTGATTAGCTATGAACTTGTAATGAATAATTTATCACAACTTATAGGAAAAATTATAATATATATATATATATATATATATATATATATAAGCTTTTACCTTTAATTATTGTGTTATAGAGGATCCTAATAACATCGATGTCAACACAAAATCGTCGAGTATAGCCTGTGTCCTGGTTTTGCTATTCCGTGTATCTCACGGTGCTTGCACGTACGGCAGTATCCGTGAAGAAGCAGTTCCGAATCACACGTTAGATTTGCTTACTGGTCGAGAATGTCTCAATGCTTTATTGGATTATGTTGAAAGATGTAAGAGACCATTAGGCAGGGCTGCTCGAATACTCGCCAGAGTATTAAGGTATTTGATTTGAATATTGCTATTTTTTTTTCGCATAAATAGCTTATAATAATAATTGTATAATTTGTATTTTCAACAATTTTGTTACCATTTTGCAGCAATGCTTTGTGTCTAATGAGTATATTAAAACACAGATTAGCACTTAGATTACATAATATGTCTATCAGCTCCAAACACCCGCCAACTAAATGTCAGCAATGTAAACAGGTGAGTAAGATATTAATAATAAAAATGTAATTAGTCGTAAGATTCACATAACAACATTTCATTATTTTACATCATAAACATGAAGGAAATTATCTATAATGATCATTTATTTTTAATAAATTGTATAATACTATGTACTATATAATGTATAATACTTGTAAGTAGGTACTTCTACATTCATCTTGAACAGTATTTCTTGTCACAAGATTCTCTGTACTTTAGGCCTAAAATACATATCAAACTTATTTATTTAGTCGCCCCCTTTGAAAATCAATTATTTTTAGCGCCCCCAATTTTTTACATACTCCTTAAACTTAAAAACCACAATTTCTAATCAAGAAAAAATTAATTTAGTTATGGTGTGCTAATAAATAATATTTGTCGTTTCTGGTGTTTACTTACATTCTAAACTAGACATTATTACTAGTGAGAGCAATTAATACGCAACTTTATAATATTAAGAATATATTTAATCAAATTAAAAGAAACAATATAGATAGGTAACGAATTTTAGTTTTAAAACTAATCTAAAGAGATGAATGAAATTGATGATTTTTAACAAGTTCGTTGATATCAGGTTCGTTTTTACTCAAAAAATTCATTTTTTTGTAAGCAGCGTTGTCACAGCGCTAAATACACGTTCACACAAATATGACGATGGGAATGCTATCAAGAATCGTTGAACGATCAACCACAATCCTGCATACAACTGCGGGACTGACTTTTGTAGCCAAAATTCTTCGTAGCCATTTTTGAATTAGACTTCTATTTCCTCGTTCGTTGTCGGTTCTATAAGTTCTTCCAGTTGAGGTTACTGCTATGTTGACATTTGAAAAAAAGGTCTGGGTATTTCCAATTTCAAAATGTCCTAGAATCTTTCAATGAAATCACTGGAGATTTTCCAAATGTTAGCAGTAGACAAGCAAGTCGTCGTTGTTGCAGGATACTGATAAATTGGGAAAATTATGGAACTCTTATCTGCCGATATTCTTCTTGTGTAAGAGCAGCTTGGTTAAGAAATCAACGACGACATTTTTGTTCTTATTAAGTTCAAGTCATCGCCTTGACTTTTCGAGAGTCATTACGAATTGTCTCGCACGCAGACTCGACGACTTCCAGCCTTCCGAACAAGCCGGTTTCCGAAAAGGCTTTAGTACCATGGACCACATACATACCCTTCGGCAAATTGTACAGAAGTCCGAAGAGTACAATCTGACACTTTTCCTGGCGTATGTGGACTATGAGAAAGCCTTTAATTCTGTCGAAATTTGGTCGGTGCTACAGTCTCTTCAGAGGTGCCAAGCCCACTGTCGGTATTTCGAAGTGCTGAACTGTTTGTACAGTAGGGCTACGGTGGCTATCCGATTACAGAACCAGAGTACGAAACCTATGCAACTGCAGAGAGGTGTAAGACAGGGTGACGTTATTTCCCCGAAATTCTTCACCGCTGCATTGGAAGACGTTTTCAAGCTACTGGACTGTAAAGGATACGGTATTAAGGCGACACCGTGTAAAAATGCACCTCCTTTCATCGAATAGTATAGGAGTATGACACCACTAACGAAAGTGGAATTTTGATGTAGGTAAATTCATGTCTTTATCTTGAATTTGATTGTTCAAAAACACGATTGTATAATTTTGACTCGATCATAATTATTTGCGAAAACACCTTTAAAAAATCACTATAGTTGAAATTACAACGAAATTACTTAATCTATATGCTTGGGAATCACTCAAATATATTCATAACATCAATGTCCATAATTTACTTGCTCATTATTTTGATTACTTAAATCAATAAATTAAAAAAAAATTTAAGATTCTGACAATTTATAAGCGCTTTTAATCGTCGCGGGCGCTACGCAATTTTAGACCTTATAACGGCGTTTTTACAAGTTTTTTATAGAAATTATGTATTCAGTACGGCGATAGCCTTTTCGATGTGTCGTCTTAACATCAATGTCGAGTACATCACTCACCTTCGATTTGGCGACGATATAGTCCTTATTGCAGAATCGCTGGAGGACTTAAGCACTATGCTCAATGACCTCAATAGTGCCTCCCAACGGATAGATCTTAAGATTAACATGGACAAAACAAAGATCGTGTTTAATATCCATGTCACACCTATACCGGTAGTTGTTGGGATCACTAAGCTCGAAGTTGTTAACGAGTACGTTTACCTGGGACAAATAGTCCGACTAGGTAAGTCCAACTTCGACCGAGAGGTCAATCAACGGATTCAACTCGGCTGGGCAGCGTTCGGGAAATTACGACGCATCTTCTCGTCAGGTATACCTCAAAACCTGAAAACTAAGTTGTATAACCAGTGCGTGTTGCCAGTGATGACCTACGGAACCGAGACGTGGTACTTCACTGCTGGCCGTATGAGGACGCTCAAAGTCGCTCAGCGAGCTATGGAGAGGGCTATGCTCGGAGTTTCTCTGCGTGATAAATTTACAAATGAGGATATTCGCAGTAGAACCAGAGTGACCGACATAGCCCAACGGAGTAGTAAGCTGAAGTGGCAATGGGCCGGCCATATAGCTCGAAGAACCGACAACCGTTGGGGAAGAAAGGTTCTCGAGTGGCAGCCTCCTACCGGTAGGCGAAGTGTAGGGCGACCCCCCACTAGATGGAGTGACGACCTGGTAAGACATGCAGGAAGTCGATGGATGCAGGTGGCTCAGGACCGTGCTTTGTGGCATACCTTGGGGGAGGCCTATGTTCAGCAGTGGACTTGTGAAGGGCTGTAATGGTGATGATGATGATGATGACATCGCCTTGAAGTTGGAGATTCATATCAATAAGTAATTTATAAATGTCTGTCAGGTATGCGATATCGTTCTTTGATTGATGAGGTTTTCGCGCAATTCTGTCTTTCTTTTCCAAAAACTCTACGACAGAGTCAAACAGATTGTAAAATCGAGTCAGACCTTATCTTTTTGATAGCCAACTCACTTCTGTGTGAAAGATCAATCGGTTGAAATCTTCATCATTAGTATATAAAGCTGATTAAATAATCTGTCATTTAAATAGTTGTTTCGGATTTTATTTTTGTATATATTGCAATGATTGAAACAGTTGTTCTCTTAATGTTTAACTGTCTTGAACAAATAGTACATTTATTTATTTATTTGTATGGATCTCCAACAGTTGTACGTATAAAATTACTTCTAACACATGCTTTATATCTATAAATTACTATGTACTACCATTTATAGAAGAACACATCATTCTAAAACAATAGCAGTGTTTATAATTTGCCTATTTTAGTGGTAGTTGGAACAAAAATAAGTACATTTTTGTCCTTATCTGGATGCATTTTATTCAAATGACTTTGAAGTCTTTAAGGCTTCATCGCTTCGTTTGAAAATGTTTTTGAACAAAGAAGGCACTAAGGCAAAGATGGATTTGTCGAATTTTGTGTGAATCTTACTATTTAATGTTGAACTTAAATATTTGTTTAAAGATTGCGCGCGACACCACTATGAAAATATAAAATTATTACGAGCTTTTATATAGGATTTAAATACAGCACGCACTGACAGGAATAAAACACAAAACTTACAAACTCGTTTATCTCTTTCGACGCTCAATCGTACTGACCAAGTTAAGGCAAGTATCGATGAACCAGCCGATTGCTACCGGATTACACCAACAAAAACTTGTTAAAACTTGATTGCGTACGGCGTACGAGCAATCCTACAAAATCTAAAGTATTTCTAGTTTATGTACCATCATACAGGGCAGACATATAAACTAATAATTATTCGATATTGAGTAGTAGGTAGGTTTTAAGTCTAGTAAATTATAAAGTATCTAAATGAAATTATAAATCAACCATCGTCCACCTAAACTACACCAACGCCCTCCATTTTTTTTCTGGGCACCTTAACGCCCCCCTCTAGGTCTGATCAGGTGATGATGTTCTCATTTTGATTTCTTATATTTACGCGAACATTGCACATGATTAAAACTACTTTTACGGATTTTATCGCGTTTATTTTTACTTTCTATTTTTAATTCCCGACGTTTCGGGCGCTTTCCAGCACCCATCAAGTCAGCAGTCAGCAGTTTGTGATCATATCCTAGACGGCCCCAACCATTACATCAGATTTGATAGACCACAAATCCTCGCGAAAGAACACCGATTCCTACCAAGGATGATACGTGAGGCTATTGAAATTAAAAAACATCCTAATTTCAATAGAGAAGGAGGCTGGGTACTACCACCTGCTTGGGGTCCTATAATCAATAAAATTAAAACTAAACCCAAGCATACCACTGCAAGACCTCAGGACATAGTCAGTTCATTTTGCATAGATCGGACCATAAACAATAATTAAAAAAGCTGAAGGTACTCCGGGTTTAACAATGACATCGGGACGTCAGTCATCTCAGTCCCCCGTGACCATGGGTGCTGGAAAGCGCCCGAAACGTCGGGAATTAAAAATAAAAAGTAAAAATAAACGCGATAAAATCCGTAAAAGTAGTTTTAATCATGTTCTCATTTTATTTATATTGAAGTCAGTTGTACAAAATTTTTATTTTACCATTTGTTCAAATTAAAGTAAAAAATGACGTAATGTTTAAACATATGGAAATAACTATATAAATATATATTTGATACAATTTTTACTTCCAGATTATAAGGTTAAGTGTAAAATTGCTTGCTCAATTGACTATACTAGCAGAATCCAGCTTTGGAATCGGAGAGATAAGCTATCAACTACTTAAAGGTAGCTCATCCATGAAACAAACTCTGTCATTAACACTGCCTTATATAGTGAAGTGGGTAATATTTCAATTTAATATAAATATTTTATAAGTTGTACATTTTATAATTATAAAAATTATTTCTTCTTAATTTCGCAGAACCGAGAAACCTTTAAAGAAGTACTTTATAGATTGCAGTGCATTAAATCTTTTATTTAATATAATTTCTGAATCCAGAGAAGATATGCAAGACTGTGTTACAGCTTTGGTTAAATTAGCGAATAATGTACATATTAAAGACCCAAAAATATTAGAGAACCGATTTAAAGATAAAATATTTGTTAGTTATGATCCAATACTAGACAATTTAGCCGTAGATGAAATCGTTACTTTCGAATTAGATGACTTGTCAATGGTGAAAGCTAACAAAGTGTTCCTCTGTCAGAACTCTGATGTATTTAGCGCAATGTTAATGGGTCGTTTCAAAGAGTCACTTCAGAAATGTGTACGATTGAAAAATGTTTCTAAACCGGCCCTAGAGTACCTATTTACACTTTTACAATTTGGTTTAAATAATCCTAAAAGTGATGTAGAAATCTTTCCTATGGCCGAAAGCTTGGAGACTAACTTGGAAGTGTTGCTGTTGGCTGATAGATTTCTATTTGAAAAACTTAAAGAATTATTGAGTAGTGCTATCTTACAATTTCAACTATCACCAGAAACGGCGGATAGGATTTATATATGGTCACTGAGTGAGGGCATGGGATTTTTATGTGTTGAAGCAGTGGCATATTTGCTTACAGGGAAAATGTGTGAATTGCAGCGCACAGAATGTTTCAGAAATATTCTTAGCTTAAAATATAAAGACCAATGGCTTGACGATATAAAATCGATGATTATGAGGCAACTTGTAAAATAGTATCATATTTTTAGTGTGTACATATAAAAAGGTCGAAGTTTGTAGCAGAAAGCAATTGTCCGCCTAGCGATGTTATTACAATCGCCTAATTACTTGCCATCATATATTTTTAAATTGCCATGTCTGGAACAAAATGCAGTTATATTAATGTAATGCATTATATATTAGCTTATATTAATATTATCTTATTCCTGCATGTCTGATTAACAAGGTAAGAAAATATTTCGAAAACATGTAAAGTTCGCCAACACGCATTGGGGCAGCGCGGCGGACACTTCCTCAGAAGTGAGGGTGCCTGTGCCCAGCTGTGGAACGTATATAAGCTGTAACTCTTTGATTTTATAAAGTTCTTGAAAATAATTTTGTTGGAGGTAGGTCTTAAAGAAAAAAATTAAGTAATGTCTGTTACACCATACAATTAATACATATATATATATATATATCATCTATAAATTCACAGAACAATCTTCCATGTCCGCAAAAAAGAAACAAAAGTAAAAGAAACAATAGTCACATGGTACTGTGAAGTGGTTAGTTTAGATGCGGTTTTTGAAGTTAAAGAGAGAACAGTGAACAGTTTCTTTCTCTCTTTCTCGCATAGCCATTTACATTCCGTATTTTAAAGCGAATAAAATTCTAAATTCATTTTAAAGTTCATGTTTTGTGAATTTTTGGGTGAATAATAACAAATTATGGAAGGAAGCAGATAATAAATTTGAAGTTTTACTTCAGTCGTGTGGTCATAAGCACACTCGTTTTTTTTTCCTCACCGGTTCCATGGCTAGTCTTTAGGGGAAATTCTTATTTAGACTGCAACTGACTTGCATATTTTTGTAGTCCAAATACAAACCATCTGCTTAGACTTAGAGTGAACATGGTATGGATGTACTTTTAAATATTTTACCTTAGGGTAGCAATTAGACTTCAAATTAACATTTGTTTCCTACATCAGAGAACATAGTAAACGCTTGCAATATGACTAGTACTTATACATTATTGCAGATTTTTAATTTATCACTGTAATATTTTTTTTAATTTTATTAAATGTACGAATATAATGATTTCTTTTTACAATTTTTCACGGTAAACTTGTGGTGTTTTATTTTACATATCAATTATATTATGAAATATTATTATAATAATACTAGTTGTAAAAATCTAGTCAATAAAAAAATATGAGGATTTTCAAATAATATTTTGTTTCGGAGTTTACGTGTATGCTAGATCCATTAATTTTTTATCATTATAGCCCATCAAAAGTGCACCCCTGAACACAGGCCTCCCCAAAAAATGGCCTCACTACACAGCTAAATTTATACTACAGACTTATAATAAATCAGTTTTGGAGGATACAGTATTTTGTACATTTTGATTTATAGTTTATATATTTGAGTTTATATAGTTTATATCACTCATTGCGTGAAAGTTGCAAAGCCAATTTCATTAGGATTGTATTTTATTGTATAACTTATAGTCTCACTTAAGCAGTTTTATAAAAATCTCATATCATCATGATACTCGGACTATAAGCAAGCTAATGCAGCATTTTTTTTATTTTGTCTTGTTCTCTATAGAATGAATGATTTTACTTTCAATTAATATTTTTTATTAATTAAAAACAAGAGAAAAGACAATAAAAGGTATTATTTGCTTAAAATTGTATTTCATACATACTAATCAAATATTACTTTTACAAACTTTTAGTATAAATATTTAATGCATTTAATAAAATCATTATACGCTAAAAATTCTTTAATAAAATTGCTTATAATTTATTAGGGTCGTATTTTACATTCCCATCCTTGGATAAATAATATGTACCTATGAATTATTTATAATGTCAATATGTGGAAGCTAATTAAATGAAATACAGTTTCTGTAATTTTGTTTTATTCTTATAACTAAAATGATTATCATTTACTTTGTATTATTTAATACATACATGCATTCTATATTATGTAAATTATTCCTTTTCGTTATAATTCCTCAGAGTTAGACATAGTTCAATTTGTTTATTTGGAACCAACACCTGAGAAGTAATAGGTCTAATATTTTTGCTATTGTTAAATTTGAACTCGAAATTATTGCTAACCTGAAAAAAAAAGTAATAAGCTTAAATTAATTACTAAACTGGAGGCTAGCAACATCTTTACTATATGCCTGTTTCTTGAACTGGGCTTATAGCTGTGCCTGACATGCATTTTTGTCAGAAATATTCGTAGGAGTGCATTCAATATTGCACCAAGTTATATCTTATACAGATAAATGGTATAGAAATGAACGAACAATTTTTTTTTGTGTTAAGTTGGATTAAAACTTGTATGGTTGATTAAAATATGACAAACATTTCTTTAAAAAAAAAACTACTGGTTAGTAAAGCCTAATCATTGATTATATATACAGACATAAGAAACAAATAATGAGAGTCACACTGCAGTCATGATTGGATTGTTGGTTCTATTGATTGAGGTCTAGTAGGTATTGCTGCCACAAAATACCAGCAATATGTTTTGCTGAGCTGTATTTTGTAATATGTAGCAGGTAAAAACCAGAGACCGTTTTACTGGTAACTAGATATTCCATCTTAGTCATCAGGGATGTCAATACACTTGCATTTTGGTTCTTAATTGAGGATAGTTGTAGGTATTTCTACGGCAGCATCTTCTATTATCAGATGAATTGTGATTGATAAACATTTTCAAGTGAAAAAAAATTAAATGTTTAAATATTTCATAGGGTCTAATAATGATCAAATACAGTGGAATCTCGATAACTCGAATGTCGTTAAGTCATAATCCTCAGTAGGACGAAAGAATTGCCATTGCAAATTCTTCTAAATATGCAGTAGCTCGAATTAGACTGTAACTCTAACAAAATGTTATTTCCCTGCAAGGTATTGATAGTACATATTTATATTCTTGACTCGAATTTCAAAAACCAGACATCTTATTTATGATTCCCCAAAGAGTCATAGTAATAAAATCCAAAAATGTTTGCTGCTTCTGTCCTATTGTGTGTACCTTGTACACACACAATAAATAAATACATTATTAAACTTTCTAAGTAACACATCTGTGTACATTATGTTTGAGAAAAAACTTAAATTCTTGTTAAGGTGATGACCTTGAAAGTTTGGTGGTTTTTCTATTTAACATATTTTTTTACGTTTTATGGATTAGAAACTAAAATTTTGGTATATAATTTTTGACTGTGTGACCTTGGATTGCATAAAAGGAAAACACGATATGACTTAATTTTCTCGATAGAAAAAAATTGCAAAATAGGCTCTAATTATTTACATTCCTCGATGACACCACAATATTCTAATGAATAATTTCATGGAATTATTTTTAAGGCATAGTAAATAATCATATCTAAGTTTTTATAAACCAGTTTTCTAATCCATAGCTGAGTTTTGTTAAAATAAATGAAAATGTTGTTTGGTGCTCAATTAGTTTTTTTCCCAAGCGCTTGCTAGGTATGGCTCTCATGATTTGCGTACTATGAAGCCATTGCATCACTTTCATTTTGACACTCCCGTAGTCGTCCGTGAGCTTCACCGACAAAGGAAAAAGCCACGCTCCCAAAACTTCTTTAATTCATTTTCAAGGTATCCTCAGCGACTGTTAAACTCATTACCTCCTAATTTTTTAGCTTTTCCCTTGATATTAGTTATTGAGATTCTACTGTATATATAAACTTAAAAAATTATTGTCAAAGGAAACTTTGTTAAAATGAATATAATTAAACACATGTAATATAATCAATGATTAATGGCAATGTTTGTATCACAGGAATTTTGCTCCTTCATTTTCTTGTTATAAGAATCCAAAATGGAGAAAACTATTACAAATTTTCCTTATTAAATGAACAAGATTTTATCATTTTAATTAGACTTGCAATGAATGGTATATTCGGCCACATGCCATATACCTAATAAACTGTGAACTTCCTATGAGGCAAAAGTATTCAAAACCAGGAAGGAAGTAGTGTTTATTCTTCAAAGTATTTATTCTCTGAAGTTAAAGAAAATAAATAAACTACTGCCTGAAAATAAAGAAAAGTTAGTCTTTTACCATTATCTTCCACTATAATTGTTACTTTTATCTGATAGTTCTTTTTTTATAAATTTTTATGATATGGAAAATGATTATGTACCAATGTCTACTTTAATGATTAGAAGTAAAAATTATTATAAAATAAATAAATATTTTCATTTTACCAATTATCTGACTACAGTAAAACCTCTTACTTAAGTATTTGGTATTCAGCGGAATAGTGGTTAGTTACTCAGTATTCTATCACATAGGATAAAAGTAGCCGAACAGGTGTAATACTAGCTGAATATTTGTTGCGTCTAATTTTAATTATTATTTATATTAAAATTAATAATTAAATGTAACTTATTATTTGTATTTAATTAAAACTATACCTGTTGTATTACTTCCGTAAGTTGTGTAATAGCAATTTTTTTGCCTATACATGATCTAGCTCCAAGGGCAAAAGGCAAAGATGCTGAAGGAACATGGTTAGTTAAGTTTTCTTTTCTTGGGTCATTTCTGTCCCAGCGATACGGCAAAAACATATTAGCATTACTAAAATTTTGCTCATCACGACCTGACGTGTATATGGAAGCTACAATTGGCGTCTAGAATAAAATTTAAGGAATTACAAACATGTTGACAGTAAATGGTACAAATGTAAATTAACCAATTTTTAAGTACATTTAGTGACTTTTCTTTGATATTATCTTTCTGCATGTGTGAGTTATTTCTTCTTTTATATGACTATAAGGATATTCAAGCTCACTCGGAGCTTCCGGAATTCTTAGTTTTCTTCTCAGTGATGGTGAAAGAAGACACAAGTTTTGTATAAGACCAAAACTACTTGATGTAACCCAGTACAAACACATGCATGATGGGACGCTGGCAGCCACTGGTATCATTATTATAGAAAATATTCTGAACACATTTGTAAATACATTATAAATTTTAGACGGCTGTCTAAGTTTTGACATCCTCTGTATTTCAATAATTGATAAGTTTGTTAACCCAAATGCTACTGGTAAAATAAGTGAATGGTCAGGTTCCGTTAAATTTGGAAACCACCCTATCCCACCCACTGCTAGTTCCATAAACGTTACCAAATCTACAGCAGCATCTGATTGCATATATACTAGATTTCGTAATGCAAACGACATGCACACCCAGACAGGGATTTGAAACCAAATAACTAAACTAGCTTTGAAAGGATGACAGTTATCTCTGACTATGAGCTTTTGCCACTGTTTTTTTAGAGACCTTTTATATAAAATAACTGCTTGTTTATTTGATAAATTATATGACTTTTTGGCAACTGCTGTTTCCCTTTTCAGCTCCTCTGCTAAGTCTTTTAATTCTAAACTTATATTCTCTACTTTAGCCAAAATATAGTTTTGATAAATAGTCAGTGGCAATGTCATTATTGCTCTTATAAGTATCGTAGATGTTACTATAGTGGCCCACCATGTCAAACCTGATGTGTCGTGAAAATATAGTAACCCATCTTGCATTAATTTTACAAGGTAACTGTTCGATATGCTAGCATATGTTTCAGATTGCCACTGTACAACTGATTCTAAAGATATACCTCTGTTTACAGATAAGTTTGCTGGCATTAGTTTGCCATGAAAAATATTATTTTCATGTCTTTTTTTATGAAACCCGTTGCACATTACACTTAAAGTCCGATAATTGACAGCTTTTGACTGTATTCGTAATTTCGAAGCTACGTTACAATAATTCATTTTAAAATTTTAGATTGTATTATTATTCGGATACGATAAAAATAACCTAAAATAAATATTGTTTTCATGGAGTATATGTTTTGTTGTTATGATTCGCCAATTAAGGCAGGTTAAGGTCTTATACCGTACAGCCTAGTCTAATTTGTATTTTGAAAAAATACAAATCAGACTAGGCTAAAAAAATCTTCACAATATATTTATTTATACGTCATATTGTAAAGTTCTAAGGAGATTTTGACTACAGCATAACCTAACACAGACACAAACTTGTTCGTAAACAGTGCGTGTGCGACTGCAACTATAGCTTTACTGTACGCGACCATGGACTTATACTTTGACAGTGTTTGACATTGACAATGGCCCGTGTTGTAGACATGGGCGTTATTTCACGTCACTAGATACAGTAACTGGCTACGCGACATGTAACCGAGTCACTAGTTTCGAGTCATGTTACAAGTAGTGATTTTTGTAAATGCGTGATTATGATTACTGTTAACCATGATTATTGCGGGAGTCGACTGTCGGTCGGTCGTACGCAAAGTGCACATGTGGCATACAACAATAAACAAAACATCGTAAGTAACAGTATTATTGTACGTTTAATTTTCATACGTAAGACTTTAGACATAGCCAAATCTCTGTTTGTAAATAAATTCAACGGTTTACGATTCCGGGAAGCGAGTCACATTGAGTTTAACTAAAATAATTTTTAAAACATTTTTGACGGAGTCATGAACTCGTTTATTCATAAAATTAAAATAAAACTAAAAAATGTGTATAAAAAGTTTAAAAATTTAAATGTTTATATTATAAAACTTAAAAACTATGTGTAAATAGCCAAACAAACAAACAAATTAATTGTACAGTGTAAATAAAAGTGCAAAAACAAATTATAGTAAATACCTTGTAAAAGTGTAAATAAACTGGAAATATCAATAATCATTGTATATACAATCAAATTGACTTCTAAATATGCCTGTATTAATAATTTTATGAAAATCTTAGTGTCATAGTAAACGCAAATCAATCATAAATACATTTAATGCAGTCAGTCCTTAACGTGAATAAAGTATGAAGGGAAGTTAATTTATTCATTTAACAGTATTATACAGTTACTGTATAGCTACAAACACAGATTGTGATTAAATTTATTTTCGTTTCGCGTGTAACTGTATAGTTGGTGGTGATATTTATGCAATCACAGTAGCCGAATAAAAATAGCCAGTTACAAAAATCACTAGTTTTGAAACAGGTGACGCTGATCAAATCACTGGTTTCGTCACGTTTCTTGAAAATGACGTAACGACCCACGTCTACCGTGTTGCTCTATGCCCAGGTACTAATACATTTGTAGTCAACCAAATCTAAGAAATACCTTTTGACGTTTCATATTAATCATTCTGTAATAACTTTGCACAAGCGTACTTACACGATTTAAAACAACCTTTTACGTACATCCGAAAAATTATGGTTATCTTTATTTCATTACCAAGTGTATAGTTTTTTATCACTAATTTAAATTCGAACCTTTCAAACAATACAAAATATTAAAAAAATAACCAGTATAAACTTTTTTACTTGACGTCGTTTCAATGACATGTCGCTATGTACTTTACCGTAGTGTTTGGATGATTAAAATTCATTGTTATGCGAGTAATCGGTAAAAATAATCAAATAATCGGTAAAAATATTCAAATAATCGAATCATTAATTTTTTAATGTATTATTTGTTATATAAAATTTTTATTTTAAAAATTCCTTAAATTACATGAATCATGAAAAAAAAACAAGTTATTTTTTTTACTTTGTCAACGTAAATTTGTGTAGGCATAAAAACTCATATGAAAGGCCCCGCTGAAAAAACCACTACGTAGTTTTAATTTCCCGCCATTTCGGGAGCCTACTATGAGTAATATTGTGATTTTGTGTTTGTCTTCTTATTTCGTGACTCGGCTTTAACTTTTTGGACTGTTTCTTCTATATTCGTTGAAGCATGTGCCCATTTCACAAAGGATGATTGGGCAAAAATGATTATGGATGACTTTGAAAGATACATTAATTTTTACTGCATTATTGAATATCAAATAATAATTAATATAAACAACGACAACTGAAGTAGTTGTACTGAAAGTAATTGAAAAAAATTATATTTAATCTAGTTTCAATCTTAAATTTTTATAACTTTGCCTTTAGAAATAAGCAGTAACAACAAATACGAAGAAAATGATAAATCTTGTTTTAAATTATCCGTTTTAAATTTATTCTGGTATTATTCAAACCAAACTGTAAATGATTACAAACTAAATAATCGATATCGATTTTTTTTAAGAATCGAATATTGCTTGCTTGGTGCAATAAGTCTGACAGCTGTCAAAATGTATTTCTTAGATTTGGTTGACTATAATCATGATTGAAGGTCAATTTTATTACTTTAAAAATTTTTACTACAAAATTAGGGCTGGTGGAAGCTATCGATAGTATGGGATGCAGCTGTAGTAACCACTAACTAACATTAATATCTGCTTACTCGAACTGGATTAGGAACTATCCCCCGTGACCACGGGTGCTGTAAAGCATCCGAAACGTCGGGATAATAAAAAATAAATTAAAGTTGAATTAATCGTGATATAATCCGTAAATAATAGTTTTATTCAATGGATTAGGAACTGCTTATTAAAACTGTTTACTAGTTTGTTGTTGTTTTCTTATAATATAAAAAGCTAAAACTAAGAAATAAAGTGAAATTTTTCTTTGTTTCATAGATAATATTTTGTCATTACTTACCCCTTGTTTGAATTTATAAGGTCCTAAAAAACAATCTTTTGGTAAAATTCTGGTTAAAAATGGCGCAACTGGATACAATCTCATCGATTCTTTTATTACACATTTCACATATAAATCATCTTTTCTTCTTAGTTCATTTAAAACTTCACTATTTTCAAACAGCATTAAGAGGGTCCACAGTGTAGTGTATGCGGTCTGTAAAAGTAATAATAAGTTGAATATAAAAGATTAATGAAAAACTATTATGTTTTAAAAGAGCAATTTTCAAACCGTGTCTCCAGCAGCAATAATAAAATCCGCGGCAATTTTTCGTATTGTCTCATCATCCATATTTTCATCACTGAGCTTTTTTATTAATCCATTGGTTTCATGCCTACCAACAAGTATTTCATTAACAATCTTTTGAGCTGAAAGAAAGTTATTTTTATTAAACTAATATTCTTATATTTACACACTACACATTGAATAATACTATTTTTACGGCAGAGATGAGATGCACACGTCTGCTCCAATTGTAAAGGTATTTAAAAAGTTATATACGATAAATTCCGTAAAAACTAGTATTATTTCAATGTGTAAAACAATTTCTGAATAATGCGTCCATACTTCCGATGTCAGCGCACACGTAAGTGTCGGTTATATTATTGTGAAGGAGTGAATACCTCTTTGCTGGATCATAATATTTTCTACGTATTCAATAGCATGAAAAAAAAAAAAAAAAAAAAATATGTATATATATTTAACTCTACCTGCAACAAAAAGCACAGGCAACTAACTCTGTCTGTGCTTTTTGGTGCTGCCGGTCCCAAGCCTGCAAAAAAGGAGAGGGAGCGTTTCCGCCGAAGAGAGTGGGTGTATACGGTGGACTAACACACCGACCTGCGCTAGGACCTGCGCAGTTGAGCGCCGTATGCGGGGATGAAGTAGTCCTGGAAGGTTGAGCTGATCATCACTCTGGTATATAGTGTCGAGAGGCAACACGCCTTTTTTGGTCCGGATTTCAAGCTAAACGGTAGCCTTATCTGCTAGCCACAGATAGAGAAATGGCCAAGCGCCCCGTCAGAGGGTCTCAGACGAGGGATGTGGGGGCTGCCTAGCCTCCCTGAAAAGGGCTAGGTGGTGGTAAAGACCATGCTGACCGAGCAAGTGAAAGTCTACTCGTGGGGATGGGCCTTTTCAGCCCTATCTACCAGCTGGATCGAGCTCCCGATGTCGCGATGTGAGCCAACTCTGCGTCTTTGTATTCCCCCGGTAACCTAACGCCTGAAATTCTTTCAATAAAGTAGGGTGTTCCCAAAGGTGCGGGCTCCATGGAAGGTGGGAAGCCGGGGGGACGAATTATGTAACACTTTAAAAAAACTATTGATAACACAAGGCCCATTAGTAGAGAGGGAGACATGTCACAGGTGTTTACCTTAGACAATGATAAAACAGACTGTACCACCCAGCGTAGGTGGACCCACCAAGGGGACAATTTCTTCGCTGGATATTTCCAAATCCAGTTCCAAATCCAAGGAGCTGGACGCGAAAAATGAGCGAGGGGCCGCGAGCAAAACTACTGCGGAGCCCCAAAGAACTGATGACCTATTCTCTGCTGCCTGGCAAGTGGTGAGCCGTAAGGGGAAGCGCAAGACACCCAAAATGGTGACTTGCCAACCTGACGGACCATCAGGTGGGTCAATCCCAGCAAGCAGTGGTGTGAAGGTCAAAAAGAAGAATAAGAAGCAGCGAGAAAAAGGCCGCAGAGAAAGAACAGCGCTCACTGCTTCCAAGAGCAACACTCAGGGAACTGAGCAAGCTACTGCGGTGCTTGGGGCTGGAACCAGTAGCCGTGCTGAAACTGGGAAGGGTGAAAATCCAGCTCAAGCAGTAGGCACGGCCGCCTGAACCAGCTCTAAGACATTCGCCTGTAACCAGAGAGCAGCCAAGCGTCCTGGAAAGAAGGAGAGAGCAGCCAAGCGTCCTGGAAAGAAGGAGAGAGCAGCCAAAAGAATGCTGGAGGAGTCCACCTCGTCAAGAGGAGAGCACAAAAAAGTGCGACTCAAACAGCAACCAAAGGCTGCAAGAACGAGCTACGCTTCTGCTGCTAAAGCAGATTTGGGGTTGGCCTAAACGTGTGCGTGTTCAGATCACATAACAAAGGAGGTAGCTGATGACATCCTCGTGGCTATACAGAGGAAGATGATCAGCGAGGCCTGGAGTAACCAGGACCCTGATGCGTCGGCCCGGTTTTTAGAGGCAAATCCGTTTACCCGGAAGGAGTCCTAAAGCTGTAGTGCGATGACCAGAAGGCTCTGGACTGATTGAAAGGGAATATGCCTCAACCTCAAATCCAACACCTCGCTGACTATTAAGAAACAGTAAGATATACCACAAAGAATCAAATGTGGTATCCTTATCCCTGATGCTCAAGGTGCCTGGAAGGACTCACGTGACATTGGTCGTGTGCTTGCGTACCGGAACCGCTGGGTAAACATCAAGGACTGGCTGCTACTCAAAGCGGACAAACAGACGGACGGGTGGTCGTCTCTCGTTGTTTCGGTGCCGGAGGATGATATCCCGTCCCTGATGAAAGCCGGGTGCCGTCTCGCATTAAATTCCAGAGTCGCGGACGAAAATTGTTTGATTCTTCACCAAGCAAAGAGGCAGAAAAGAACCCGGAAGTCATGGATACCGTGGCCATGGTTGCCGGTACATCGAAATCACTGGATGCCAAGTCCAGTGAAAAAACGTCCTGCACAACTGAGCCGAAGCCCCTAGTGGAAACCGAGCTCAGCGGCAGCTCACTGAGCGACGAAGAGGACTGCTTTTTGCCGTCCGATTCCGACTCGGTGGCTGACAATGAGACCCGGGAACTGCTGGCAGGCTTATTTTTGGGCCGGGACTGGGAGGACGCGATCAATGATGGCGTGCCCTTCGTCCAGAACTAGCCTAGTGCAGGCCAACCTCCACCACAGTGAAACTGCGTCGGCTCAATTACGCAAGTGGTTGGAGGCACAAAGGACGGCCATAGCCCTAATCCAAGAGCCATGGGTTGGGGCTGGTAAAATTAAGGGCCTATACAACCTAAAAGGTAAGTTATTCTACAACTCTGAGCATGACAAGCCTAGAGCGTGTATTTATACTACTAAAGAGATCTGAGCAAAACCATTAACAGATTTCTGTTCCAGAGACATGTATGCCGTAGCGTTACAAAATACACAGGAGGGAAGTTTAGTCGTCGCCTCGGTCTAAATGCCTGAGGAAGAAACTCCAAAAGGAAAGATGGCGTTAGTGCCAGGTACCAGACGTCAACTTAGGCGCGCAACAATAGGATCCCAAAACAATTTGTATTCGATAAGAAGTACAGGATACAATTGAAGGAATCTGACCAGCTGGAAGGATTGGGAACAAAAGAGCTCAGAGTATTCACAGATGGTGCTAAGACAAATGAAGGTGTGGGGTCTGGGGCTTTTTCTGAAGAACTTAATAACCACATATTCACACCGCTGGGTACCCATAACACAGTCTTCCAGGCTGAATGCATGGGTATCATCCAAGCGGCCATAGCAATAGTTGCTAGGAAGGTGAAAGACTTCTCCATCAGAATACTGACCGACAGTATGGTACTACAACCTCTGAGTTGTAATGTGGCGAACTCGGTAATGACTCATATAGAGTGCCATCAACGATTGAATGAGGTACGTAAGCACAACAATGTGACTCTGCAATGGATCAAGGGACATAGTGGATCTAGAGGCAACGATGCAGCAGATGAACTGGCCAGAAGGGGATCGGCTCGGGCAAAAATGGGGCCGGAATCTATAATACCAATCCCCTTTGGCTACGTTCGTTCACTGGTACGTAAATACTTCAATAATTTACACTCTCAGCTTTAAAAAAATTTAGTAGACTGTAGACAAGCTAGGGAGGCCCTGCCCGAAATAAACAGTCGTCTAACCGAGGTTCTAATGAGACTGAACAAGCCACAGATCAGGATAGTGCTATCACAGAACATGGCTCTTTTAACAAACGTTTGTTTACCATAGGTGTTACTGATAGCCCCCTGTGCAGAGTATGCATGGGAGAACAAGAAACGGCGGCTCACGTGTTGCTGACATGTCCAGAAGTCGCTTCATACAGGGCTAAACATCTTGGCACGCCGGGATCGCTCCCCGAAGTTGCTTGCAACATGAAAGGACTGTTGAATTTTTTCGAGGAGATATCGTGGTTTGAATAACCACATTATTTCTGCCCACACGCAAAATACGCGCTTAGACGTGGAGTTACTGAAAACAGGCCGTCGTAAACTAAACTTAACTAAACTAATATAATATAAATATAACTTTAGAGAAGTTATTCCCATGGTCGACATTATTATCATTTTGAGTTGCTTGTCTTTTGACTACCTAGAGCTAGGTAGGGTACCTATATTAAATAAAGAATCTTATGTCAATCCACTGTTAAAATGGAAATTACTCAATCTTTTGGCAGGAGGATTCGAGTACCAGATTTTTTTCACTTTTTAATGCTTATCGCAATCGCAATCGGATGCATCAATTTTTTTTTCTAAGCATCTCCTATAGTTGTCTTTTGTGATACCCAAGGAGTCACGAGACGGCAATTAAAAACATAGCTATTGAAATTATTACGAGTGCTAAAATATTTATAAATATTTTTTATTTGTGTTTTTTTAATTAACCATCTGAGTAACAACATTTCGGCGTTGTAAGAGACGGCTATAGAAAATGCTAGAAAGACGTAATGACTTTCGATAGATAGGGATTTAGCAACATAACCATACCGGTTACACCAGAAGTAAGATAACCCCAGAGCGGCGACTGGGAGCAGGGTCGAATGTACGAAACACCTGGTACTACGATTATCAATCCGCCTACCTGTGTGGTAATGGATACTTACGCGCTGCTTCAGCTGATAAAAAAAATATCTACATCGTCATGATTACAGTCTGGCAAAGTTCGCATCTGAACATAGGCCTCGCCAAAGATTGCCTCCTAGGGTAGGGAGGGTATATTTGTCATAGTTGCCACGCTTGGGAGGCATGTTGGCATCCGTGGTTTTTATTTTTTGAAGCTGTGGCTCATGTCCTGATTTGTTACCTTCTATAGCCTCTTACGATACCCTCGTGGCGATATGGGGTAGTAGATATTCTTACACTGACAATACACGGTCAAAAATTAATAAATGTTGACACTTACCCAAAAAAATAGAAATATCAACAGATTCTTTAAAATCAGTCCACACTTTTAAATTTAACCGTTGGCACAAATTTAAAGGCAGACCGTGTAATTTTGTTGTTGTTTGAAATATTTTTTTTACAGCATTTGAGAAAATAGCTACAAGCTCTTCGTAATGCTTACTCTCAAAAATGGACGAATTAGTCCCAAGGAGCACTTTTATTATAACTGAAAAAAAAAGCAATAAGAAAGTAATTTTTAGCTAATTTTACTAATAATATATAAGTGTATTTACGATTATTTATTCACCGTCTGTAGACAATTTATAAAGATCTGATTCTATTTCCAATACGATGCCACAATTTGCAGCGCGTCCTTTCAATTTTGAAATAAAATTATCAACGGTTTGCTTAATAGGACTTTCAAGCCAAGATTCTGTATTTTCACGAAGTAAATGTTTGTTCATAATGCGGCGATTATTCAGCCATTCTTCACCATCCATGAAGAAGAGACCTCTTTTAAATCCGTACAATTTTTCATACAAAACCCATGGGTCAGGCAGTATATGCGCAGGATACTTTCCCTCGCGATTCAAGAAAAGCGTTTTCATTAGTGCAGCATCACTAATGAATACCAAATCTGTATTTCCATTCAATTTTTCACAAAATATAGATCCATGTAATTTGTGTCTAGCATCGATGTATTCATGCAACCTATTGAATAAAATATAGGATTTTATCTAATATATTTTATTTATTTACTTCGCAAAATAAAAAACAACGCTTTAAATATTTGGTAGTTCAACGTTGTGCAGTGTTGGTAGGTGTTCACTTACCTTGTTCCTCTGCCAGCAAGGAAAAAATCAAGTTTTGTTCCGAATAATGGTAGGGATCTGGGACGAGGTACATTCTTGATTGTCAAAAAAGTTTCACATTGCCCAGAGGGTGTAATAGTATATCTTCTTATATGATCCGTCGTAGTTCTCGATATACGATACATGTGTGGTGCTAAAGAACAAGAACATAATAAGATCATAAATTCACAAATGCAACAACTCAACGCCGTGTGTTTCGTATGTTTAGTGTAGAAAACCGGAGACCCTTTTTACTTAAAACCAGGCATCCTATCTCAGTTCTTATGGGTCAATGGGATAATGCATCTGCATTTTGGTTCTTAATGGAGGAAAGATATAGATTTCTATGGATCACAGCATCCAATTACCAGGAAGTGGACTGTGTGCTCCTTTGTCACTATTTTTGTTGTTTATATTAAACACCTAAACTATAAGACAGTATCAGTAAAAATACCTACGAGGCTGCCACTCGAAAACCTCTCTTACCCATCGGTTGTTGGTTCTTAGAGCTATATGGTCGCTCCTTTGCCACAGCTTACTAATCCGTACAGCAGCCTCGTACCAGTAGGCGAAGTGTAGGACGGTCCTTTCACTTGTTGGAATAACTGGCTGGTAAGATTTGAAGAGTTGATGGATGCCGGTAGGTCAGGACCTTGGCGTTTGGCGGCATTACCGGCGTTCGGCGGCGTTTGTGGCGTTCCTTAGGGGAGGCCTATGTTCAACACTGGACTATTGAAGAACTCTAATAAATGAATAAAAATGTCTGGAAGTAGTGACGCTGAGGGCCGGTTTAGTATCTTGCACGGGACATGTGATTGTATGGCCTTTAAACAATTGTTCCGAGTCTAGATGTTTAGTTTGAAAAAATATATCATAAGTATAATATTATAAGGTTCAACAGAATCCCCAAAACGTTCAATTGCTAATATTGTCGATATCTTAAGAGTAATTACATAAATATCAAAAAATGACACTAAATTGCGCGGAAAATGATAGTTTACAATAAGCAAATGAAGCGATTATCAATAAAAAGTTATTCCAAAACATTTAAAAAATATATGCTCCACAGCTAAGGTTTTACATTTAAGCAACAAAATTAAAACTGCATCCAATAAAATTAAAATGACGTGGAGTATAAATAATACTGAATCGGGTAACATCAAACCACGCAACTCGGATTATCAACTGAATATTAACGATATGTTAGTTGGTAAGTACTCTTATTAGTTTGTGAATAACAATAATTTAACTCAATCAGATCAAGAAGTTGCTATGGCTTTTGAGAAACATTTTTGTTCCTTTTTTAACAACAAAATCATTAAATTCTTCCCCTACTATCGCTGAATCATTGCTTAAACAAAATGTAAGTAGTAGTAATGTAAGGCTTGTTCAAATACCTTTAAATTTCATTGAGTATTGCCGAAAGATATTATTACATATTTTAAATCTATTTTTGTTAAGAAAAGTTAGCAGACTTATGGGGAATTTCCATTAAAGCTAACCAACAACGCTAGTAGGTATTTAAAATATCTAGCCACTATTTTAAATACCTACTAGCGTTGAATCTGGTGTGTTTCCTGATGTAATGAAACATAGTAAAGTTACACCTTTATTGAATTCTGGTAATACATTAGACCCGCCAATTTTAGACTAATTTCTGTACTACCACCTTTAAAGAAAAAAAAAATATTTTAAAGAAAAAAATATTTTACATGTGGTGTTGTTTTTTTATATAAAGTACCTGGATGACCGAGCTTTGATCGGTATTTTTTTTTGGAAATCGTGTTTTTTGTAAATTTTATTTAGATACAAGTTACAAACTGATGAAATATGAATAAAATTTTTCGATCTTCTCGATCGTTATTTTTCGTGTTTTAAAAAAAATATACTAAAAATGGGCTCCAAATAATATATTTTTACTCACAAAAGAAGGAAAAAAGGAAAAAGAGTCAGACCAGAGTCATTTGAACGCGAACCAGCGTTCTATGATTTCAGCACCGCCCGATATCCTTTTTGAGCTGTTTTAACCTTTTAGACACCGGAAAACCGGTATTCTAATGATATTGTAGTAGTTTTCAGTGCCTAAAAACCTGGATAAAACGACATTTTCTGAAAATGAGTCCTAGCTAGAACGATTTATTGCCCGCGAAACCCCCTGCATACTAAGTTTCATTAAAATCGTTAGAGCCGTTTCCGAGATTCCGATAATATATATATATATATATATATATATATATATATACAAGAATTGCTCGTTTAAAGGCATTGGATAAATTGCTTCATACAAGTGAATTTGGTTTTACTAGGGGCCGCTTGACAGCTGACGCCGGAGTTGAGCTTATTAACCTATTTTTGTGCATGGAAAAATTCAGACGGATGCTCTGAATATATTTTGTGACATTTCCAAGGCCTTTAAATGTATTCATCATGAGTTAAGAACACAGTACTTAAACTAATTGTTTCATATTTAAGTAATGGAATGCACAAAGTTATTATCAATGGTAAAAGTTCTTCCGGATGGCCCGTACAGATAGGTGTCCTCAGGGCTCAATTCTTGGCCCATTCCTATTTTAAGTGTATATCAATGACCTTCCTATGTAGGGGATAATCATAACATAGTATTATTTTCTGATGATACGTCTTTGATATTAAAACTTAAAAGTCAATAATTTAAATGTGACGTAGTGAAAAATGCTATATCGTATACGTTAATAATCTACATTTAAACGGCAATAAAACTAAATGTATTAAATTTACAACAACAAATGTTAAATCTGAATACCAATTAAATGGGGAAGAACGGAGCCCTGTTTAATTTTCTGTTTTTATTGGCATTACTCTCGACGCTAAGCTTCAGTAGGGACCCCAAATATCTAAACTAAGAAATAGACTAAGCTATGCAGCCTATGCTGTAAAAAAGATTAGAGATCTCACTAGAGACAGTTAGATTAGTTTATTTCAGTTACTTCCACATCATAATGCCACACTGGATTTTGCTATGGGGAAATGCGGCTTATTTAGAAACTATTTTTGTTTTTCAGAAGAGGGCCATACGAGCTATTTATAACCTAAAACCAAGAGAGTGTCTTCGAGAAAATTTTAAGTAAATAAATATGTATATTACCTTTGGCCTCTCAGTAAGAGTATATTTACGAAAATTTAAGTTATGGTTAAAAAACAAAGGTATTTTTAGTAAAAAAAGTGAAACACACTCTGTAAGCATTAGAAGTATATATGCCAATTTTGATGACTTTCAAGCAAACGTATTCATCCTTGACCTCAACTCTGATCTTATCATCCTTAGTGAATGCAAATTGAACCCTGATGAACACATCCCTCAGATAATAAGGTATTATTATTTTCAAACATCTAAATCAATCTGATGGAGTAGTCGCCTATGTCAAAACCGCTCTGACAGCCAACGTATCCGAGGTCTATGTAAAACATGCGTCTTGCTTGCAGATATCTTTACCTCAACTTACGGTTCTTGGTATTTATCGCTCACCCTCTAATCGTAATGCCGAGCAATTCATTGACTCATTATGTACTCACCTGGAACTTATTAAAGGAACTAAAAATATCATCGTTACCGGAGACATAAATATAAATCTCATCTATAGACATGACGAACAACCCTACGAACGCAGTAATCGACACAAATATTTGGATATGTTAGCTTCAGAGGGCTTCCTTCCAGGTCACTCTATTCCAACGAGAGGACCTAATTGCCTCGATCATTTCATACTAAAACTCAATCACGAACATCAAAATGTCACGATTGCTGTACTCGATGCCACTGTCACTGATCACAGTATGATCTTTCTAAAAATATCCTGCCCTGATAAAATAATAATAAATAACAAAACTATAACTAAAATCAATTATGACAAGGCCCTAGACTTATTAAAAACAACTAAATTACCTGATCTATTAGAATACAGTGACCCTAATGTTATAACTGAACTTTTAATAAAAAAACTTCAACAGTGCTTAAAATTAAATACGACTATTACTTTCACCTCAGCGAACAAAAGGATCTTAAAACCTTGGATTACTCCAGGTATGCTACGCTGCATCAGAAGCAGAAATGATACGCAAAAAAGGCTAAAACTTGACCCATATAATGAAACTTTAAAAATAATATATAAAAGGTACCGTAACTACTGCAGCTGTATTTTAAAAAAGTTGAAAAGGAACTATAATCGAGACCAGCTGACCAAAGCTCAAAAAAACCCTAAAAAGTTATGGGATACCATAAACGGAATAACCCAACGCAAGTCCCTCAAACCCCATAACCTTGAACTCCTGCATGCAGCTTCGTCTCCAAAAGCATCGGTAGATATCACTAACACCTATTTCACAAATATTGGTAAAGAGCTAGCAGAAAAAATTATAACTTCAAATTCACCGTCAGAGAATCCTCACACAAGCATAAAACAGGTTTCATCATTCGTTTTATATGATACTGATTGTGCTGAAATATGTGAAGTTATGAAGTCTATGAAATTAAGTAGCTCATCGGGATGGGATAATATCCCTACCTCTTTTCTAAGGCTCGCTCTAAATGAAATTGCGCCAATTATTTCCCATATGGCCAACTTGTGTTTCGAACAGGGAGTTTTTCCAACTGTACTCAAGCAGGCTTTAATAACACTTATATATAAGGATGGCAGCAAAAGTGACCCCTGTAACTACCGATCGATCTCCGTTCTCTCATCAGTGTCTAAGCTTCTGGAAAAATTAATTAACATTAGACTCACCAATTTCTTGACAAAATATAGCATCATAGCAAAAAATCAATTTGGTTTTCAACGAGGCTTATCGACTGAAAATGCTATTCAGTCTCTTACAACTCTAGTAGTAAAAGAAGTGGATTCTGGAAACAAATGTCTGGGAGTATTGCTCGATCTTAAGAAGGCATTTGACACAGTGTCGGTGCCCATCCTGTTAAATAGACTTGAGGAAGTAGGGGTGAGAGGTACTCCTCTCAAATTATTCAAAGATTACCTTACTAACCGAAAGCAGCGTGTTCGAATAGGCAATCACACTAGTCAGGAAGCCACCTTAACATTCGGTGTCCCACAGGGGAGTGTGCTAGGACCAACGCTTTTTCTGGTGTATATAAATAATCTCTGTCTTCTAAAACTATCAAATGGTACTGTATTTTCTTACGCAGATGATACAGCTATCGTGTTCTCTGGCAAATCCTGGTCTGAAGTAAAAATATCGGCAGAAAATGCCCTGGCAAAGATAGCATCCTGGTTAGACAAAAGCCTCCTGACTTTAAATGCTGCTAAGACTCAATATATTTGTTTCAGTAAAAACATCACAACTCAACCCCCTTCAAACTTTGACATAAAAATTCACAAGTGTGGTGACCCGTCTGATAATGACTGTTCGTGTACAAGAATAGATAAAGTTGCTTATGTTAAATACTTAGGGGTTCTCGTCGATCGGCGTCTTTCTTGGCACCTGCATGTAGAATTGACCATGAAAAGAGTGAAAAAGCTGATCTGGACTTTTAAAACTTTACGTCATATTGCGAGTAAAGAGTTACTTACTCAAACATATGTTGCACTCGCACAATCCATACTGGTATACTGCATATCAGTGTGGGGCTCAGCTGCTAAAACTGCTCTACTGTGTCTGGAACGAGCTCAAAGGCTGCTGATAAAAGTAATGCTTCTAAAATCATATAGATACCCCACTGAAGATCTTTATCGGGAAGCTAATCTTCTATCAGTTAGAAAACTATACATATTAGACATTGTTCTTAGAATGCACAAATCTCTTCCCTGTGATGCTAAATTGCTCACCAAGAGAAGAAAGTATAAAGTTGCCTTAGTTCCCACAGTGAAATCTGACTTTGCAAGACGGCAGTACTCTATGCAGTCTGCATCAATCTACAATAAAATAAATAAGTATCTAAACATATTTCCCCTTAATAAAAAAGATTGTAAGAAAACGGTTTTGGAATGGCTAAAATCAATAAGTTACACAGAGACAGAACTGATGCTTAAAAACTAACTTATCTTTGTTACGTGTAGGTATCCATAGGTCTTATAGCGCATACAGGTTCCAGTTTTCGCCAATACTATTTAAGGTGAGTATTTGAAAAATTGAAAATATTAAATAACAAAAATTAGTTATATAACACAACACTTACGCACAACTAAACTCAAACACACACACACACACACACACACACACACACACACACACACACACACACACACACATCACACACACACACACACACGAGCAGAAGAAAAAAAATAAAAAAAATACGTGTGGCACTCGGTGACTGCCGCGGTAAAGCTATTGCATAGCATTTTTTATCAACTTATGCAATTATAATTATTTATTTATTTTATTTATGCAGTTAAGTCTTTGATATTAAATCAAGTTACACTTTTTGAGCGTGGTGACCGATAAGAAAACAATTTTTTTTTCTCTTATTGAATAAATGAGAAGTTAACATTGTTTAAAATATTTTTAATATCTTATACATGTAGGTTATTCAGGAATTTTTATCATTGAGTTAGCAGCTAGTGTACACGCATACGTCTAGTCTAGTCTAGTCGCACGCACACAAACACCGTGCCGAAGTCTGCCGAGTGCCGAAGTCTGCCGAACTGAAACGACGTTAGACGATGTACGGCTTTCAACGCACGGCACACATCCGTGCCCGTCGGAGTGGGGAGCGTGAGGTTTTTTTTCGTTACGGAATTTCTGGATTCGGTCCCCGCGCTCAAGGCCCGCGATAGAAGCTATGCAATAGCTTAATAAATAAATAATAATATTAATTACATGTAAATTTGCTTGTTTTAGTGTATATTAGTTGTAATTTAGTTTTCTATGTAACCGTTTGTAAGAAGAGCGGTTCTTCCCACCACAGGCGATGTTTTGCCTAAAGGGGAGTTCCCACATCTAATATTTGTAATAGACTAAGTTACTGAAAATAAATATTTGAATTTGAATTTGTAAGCACTAGGAACATACACAAGCTAGTGATACCAGTTTCTTGACTCCATATAGTCAGTAACTCTGTCTTCGGTTGCTAATAACTCCTGGGAATGAGGTAGTCGCTTACAAGCTGTTCCTAAAATAAATTTTCTAAATATTTTATAACCATTCACATTGTAAAATTTATTAAAAAAAAGTCCAGCTAGGTTTCTTGCTGGTTCTTCAAAGGACAGAGGTTTTTCTGAACCAGTGGTAAAGCAAAAAATTACTTTCAATAAGAATTACACGTAATCTATATTGAATAAAAATATTCTATTCTATTCCATTGTTAGTTGCATTTGCATTATGACAATGAGGGCTAATAATAATCTTCCGCTCAACGGATGTCGTTAGTCAGGACTGAGGTAAGTTATTTTTTACACAATGTCATTTATGTCATAATCGAAAAGTTGTATTTTAAATAAAAGTTTTTTATTTCTAGGGTATGTATAATACCTACACAAAACAATGCCACAGTGGAATGTTCATTTAGGAACTATAAAAAAATATAATTATAATTATTGTAATTATGAATAATAAATAATTATAATTATAAACTATATTATACATAAATATATAGAAAGTATTGTCTTTAAATAATATACTGGATGACCTTTTTTATCGTCTGGAAAAAGAGGGTGTAACATGTGGACTGAGTAGTGTATGTGCAAGCTGTGCTATTTGACTAGCATTTAACTAGTAAAAAACAAATTATATATATTGGGTTTGTGATGTGTAGGCGAGGGAATAGAAATTTCAACCCCTAAAAACTGAACTCAGCCGGTGTATTTCAAAGATGCATCCCGGAAAGTTGGAGCCAGCCTTAGTGGGTTCCTTTTAGCAGTGAAGTGACACGCTTGTTTTTGGAGGCGTTGTATCTTACGATTTGTACCCTCGACCATAGCTTCTCGTTTAAACTGGATTTGATCCTAACTAGCCCTAGCACTTGTCTAAAATCGTTTAAGAACTGTATTGTCATCTGAACAGATCATTAATATTTTAAACTTTTGCGAAGAGTGTTGCGGAGTCTTCTCCGCCGGGCCTCTGAGGAACTCCGTCGTTAGTCGTCAACGAAACGAGGCATTCCATATTAATCCTCAGGGGTGATAACGCATCCGTATTTTGATTCTTAATCGAGTATAATAGATGTCTCAGGGCCACAGCATTCACTTACCGTCAGGTGGACTATGTACAAGCATATTAGAGCAGTTTTTACCAAAATTGTACCGCCTTAAATTTAGATGTCCTGTTTATTTTGTTACTTTATAAGACACCATATTTATCTGATTTTTTTAAATCTCTTAAAGTCATATCTATAGATATAATTAATCACAAATAAAATACTACCAGAAGTACTACTATTAAACTACTAACTCTTACCAAAATGAAGCAAACTTTTGATTCGGGGTGTCAGTTCTATACGCTAGTAATATAGTTCGATGGAAGTTTTTGTCATTTTTTATGATTGGGCTTCTTTTTTTTTTGAAGCTCCACTTTCGTAAATAATATTTCAAAATCATCATGTGAAATTCTGACAAAATTTATGTTATTAGGTAATTTATGTTACCTTGCACATCTTGAATGTACGACTCGCTCAGTAACAAACTAGAGGCACCATGAATCCCTCTATTAATTAAAAATTTCCACGTTCAGAACCTCGGTTTCTTTGTAACTTTTAAAAATGTTTTGTACGATAAAGTGTCAAACATATTTCGCTGCAACATATTCTTTGACCATGCAAACGATATTTGAGACATCATAAAAAAACAGGCGTCAAACATTTATTTCAAAAGAAAAAAGAATTATAAATCTTTATACATAGTACTTTAACGTGTCATAATGCACTATTTGATTATGAATTAGTAAAAAATATATACCTACTTTTATCATATAATTAATGTACATTGAGAATCGTTATGAGGAGCTATATAAATGTAAACAAACCACAAAATTACACTTATATTTAAAGAATTCATAAAGATGATAACGTCCTAACAGAGAAAACTAGGCCGGCAGATAGCCGCTCCTATATTATTGTATATTTAAATGATGGTTTGAAGCGGATTTTGTTACGAAGGGTGTTATGTGTGCTTGTGCATTGGAACGATGAAGCAAGTGCTTGGATGTTGATGTTTCCAGGTATATAAAAAGTACTCTATGGGTTATGTGAGCCCAAGTTTTTTGTCAGTTGGCGCAAACTGCTGTCAATATTATCCAAAATCTCATCGGAGGTGACAAGTGACACAGGCCACGACATAGGTATATGTGGTATAGTGCGGGGCAAGACGCGCATGGAGCGCTCCCGAACGGTTATTAGTCATTCGGGAGCTATCTGACAGGGTCTCGTCACGTTGCATAAAAATTAAAATTAAATGGTCCACACTACGTATACGGTAATAATCACGGGTGAAAACGGCGGTACAACAGTTTGACTAAAATAAAATGACTATGATGTTTGGACGACATTATGATGGTATCTATGGTCGTGACTTAAAATTCAGGTTTTTTTTTACTTCTAGTCCTGACAACTCTAGCAATTTTATTGTTTATGTCGGCTTTTCCGACAATGACAACATGAATCTATTGCGCAGAACTTTTTAGACAAATTATTTTAGAGGACCTTTCCTTATTATTTGGCAAAAGTACAACTGTACGAGTCCATTAGCAAAGATAAAAAAAAACACACACACATTGATTTACTTTTACACATTTACATTTTTATTTAGTGTAAATAAAAATGTAATGATATCTCACAACATTAACGCCCGTTTAGCATAAAAACCAGAACAATTTAATGAAAATATATTTTACGCTAAGTAAAAAACGTAATAAGTAAAGTAAAACTAACAAAAAGTCTACTTTATTAGCTGGTTTATAATTTGTAAAGCATGATCTTTGCGTTAGGTACCTATCTTTGTCTTAGGTTAATAAAATAACACCTGCACAATTAGGTATCTTAAAAAATAAAATTAAAAGTTTTGACAAAATTCAGACTCAAAATATGCATAAAATCTACTTACCTTTTACTTGAGGACTCATGACAAACATGATATTATTGTTTATTGCTATAATTTTGGAAACTTGTAAAGGTTGTTATTTTATTTTTTATATAAACAAAAATCGTATATTACATTTAACAATTATCTCTCTCAGGCGATCAATGACTGTTTAGGTTCAAACGAAATAACAAACTGCTTAAACAGTGCTGCTTTTGTAAAACGCTAATAAATCGCTGAATAATACATAAATAATGCCGACCATGGATCAACTATTTGTTATGGTAATTTGAAACGATGCTTGTTTTTTTGTATTTCAGGTAGTCCGTTTTGGTTTTTAGCATATTAAAGATTGCATATGTACTATGTAGACCACCAGTACTTATATTATATTCTAAGTCTATGGTTTATATACAAATGAACTAAAACTTAAAATAAACTACATAATATATATAATTGATAGGTATTTACTGTTTAATAATTTGTGGGTATTTTGAATTTTCATAGCCGTATTTTTTAATTTATTATTTTATGGTGAATGTTATATTTCTTATCTATGAGCACAAACTAATAAGAGTACTATGATAACGTTCTATTATGAGGTTCCGTAGACAGAGTCGTTTTTCTTTATCTGTCTACGCAGAGAATCCTAGCAAAAAGCCTAAACTTAAGCAAAAATCTCTATTCCTCAGGACACGATGTTAGTTTTAACCGGGGAACCACCAAATATGAACATTAAAAACTTACCAATCATGAATTAATAACATGTATATGTTTATTCGAATATATTTCATTTCAAAAAACAACTTATAAACTCTACTTCAAAAAAAATGGAGGAGTCACACTACATCTTCCGGCAACATTTCACCTTTCCCTTTCTCCAAACACTTTGTCTACGTGAGGTTCATTTAATTTTTACCACAGAGTACTTTTTGTATATCTGATTTTTACTCTGTTAGGAAGTAGTGACTTGTCAAATTTATCAAATTCATCCATTCCATTATAATTTGAAGGTGTATCTTAATACTTGGACATCTAGCGAGTTTAAAATTTGGAATTAAAGGGATTTAAAACATTTCAAAATGACTGTAAAAAATAAAACAGAGGATCCTAAAAAGGAAAAGGCGGAGCCTGTACCGGCACCAAACGATGATTTAGTAAAGTTTTTTTTTTACTTATAAAATTACAATGATCACAATATAAATCTTAAAAATAAACCATAATATTAATTTTTATTTTCAGTCTGAAGAAGATAAAAGACTTCAAGAAGAGCTGAACATGCTCGTTGAAAAACTTGTGGTGCGTATATCTATTTTGTTTTCATATTTTATTAATAAGAACAAAGTCAAATTAACCCTCATTTTTGTAGGGTGCCGACGTTGATCTGTATTTTCCAGCTTTACAAATGTTAAGTAATTTAATAAGAACGTCAACTACGTCTATGACATCAGTGCCAAAACCCTTGAAATTTTTGAGAGAGCATTATCCATCACTCAAGCAAGTTTATGAAAAGATTCATGATGAAAAGACAAAGAAATTTTGTGCCGACGTCGTCTCGGTTCTTGCAATGGGAGTTAGTGGTTCTGCTGTAAGTATAAAAAATTATGTATAATGATAAACATTCAAGCAGCAAAATAATTAATTTGTTTGTAACTAAAAATAAGATTATGTCAAAGGTAATATAACACATTGTTTTCAAGGTAGGTTGACCAATATTGCCGATTTTTTAAACTATACTATGTAACAGTGATGTAGGGGCATACCCAATACCCCATGACAACCTGTGGGTGTTATGAGAGCTGATAAAGAGAAATAAACCAAGGCTGTAGAGATGCCCTTACACATTCCATTTAGAGAATGCATCAGGAGTTTCAGAGGATATTTCATAAAGCATGTGTGGATGAAATAATAAATGCACATTTTAACAAAATTTTATATTTTGTAAATATGTGCATTTATTATTCATAGAATATGCTTAGATAATATAAAGATCTATTTATTTTATTATGGATAATGGTTTTTTTTTAGAACATTTTATTGTTGGTTAAATAATATAACAATAAAGAGAAAATAACTATAAACTAGATGTAGCAATCCTGGGTGCCCTTGAAGCACCCATATATAACAGAATTATTATACAACTCCAGCATATAAAACAGTTAAGATCAATATTGGCTATAGTGGTTGTATATATTGTGGTGGTTGGCAGCCGGGCTGACAACTACAATTTTTTATTAATATGTATTATTATAGAAAGACATAGTTTCTCATGGGCATAGGCATGGTAGGGTAGGATGGAGCTTTTACTCTTTTGGACTAGCTTTAAACTTTCAATTTTTAATTCTTAACCATCATACTTCAATAACTAAGCTCATTATTAAAATAGTACACTTTAGTAGTAGTATATAGCAGTAGTTTTACATTGTTCATATTTTATTACAGTTTTATTAAAGCATTTTTGGTACATAGTCTAGATTTCTATTTTTTTGCTCCACCCTATATCCAAACTTGCCTTATACAGCTGCTCATCACCTTCACTACATGTTCAATAAAATATGCTATATATAAGTTTATACAGGGTTACAGTTTAAGTTGACTTGGATTTTTAGGATGTTTTAGTTTCCATCATTACCAATGATTTCGACACTATTAAATACCATACTCCAAACTTAACTGTTCTTCAGATATTGGAAATTAAGTTTTTTTTTTATAAAAATTGCCAATTTTTTGTCTATTATACTACTTTTTTTGTGATTTGTGCATCTAGTTTATTTTTGTTTTATGATTTTTGTGTTGTAGATAAGTTGCTTAATTAATTTTAACTCCAACATTTAAGGTAAATAAACAATCTGGGTCATAGTAGAGGACTGATAGTTGAAATAAGAAATAAATTTGTACTAAGTATTTTTTTCTTTGAGGAATATTAAAAAGTAAATTTATGGCAGTTGTTTTGCAGATGTACTTAAAAATATCTATGTTTCTTCAGCAATCCAACAAGGTAGTTATGGATGCACCCCGTCCCTCTGTTTTAGACTAGTATATTAATATATATTATATCGTATTATTTAGGCTAAGCGATAAAAGTAACACATCAGCATTTTATATAAGATTCCTAGTACTTAGTTGATGAGTCGAACGTCTGCGTACGAACAGACTCTTTAAGATTGATTCATTATTAAAGCCACCTCCAAATCGGTGAGACGTATTAATTTAGTTGTAGTTTAGTTTTTAAAAACTCCTTTCGACGTTCCCGAAATTTGACTGGCGCAGCCGGTAGGATTTGCTCGTGAAAGCTGTGCCGTCTCTCGATATATTCAGGTGTCCAAATTCGCCTGGATTCGTGATAGCGGTGCGATTAGCTGTTGGGCAAATTCAAGAACCAAATAAATTCGTCATCAAGGGAAGTGGAAGCGGAAGGCATGGGAATAGCAGCTGGTTGGTGAGTAAAACTTTTCACCATCCTTGATACCACTGTTATCCTTCACTTTTAATTTAATTTGTTATTATTGAGATCGGACTTCTCTCATTATAACGTATCTGGTTTTTAATTAATTCCATTTAGTAATAGACACTCCGTTACTGTAGACATAACATAACGCTGATAAGCTTAAGGGACGCAGAGTGCCTTTCGCACAGAGATTATTGAACGCTTTAAAATAAATAAGACTTTTATAAAAGTAATAAACTAAAATCTAATTAAAAGTTTACTATAAAAGATAATTAATTAATATATGTTTTATTAATGCTAGAGATATAATATAGTTTTATTTCATTTATTTTCTTTTTATTATATTTACACATTTTACAAAATTTATGGTTAGATTAACTTTTATTTTATAAATTATATTGTTATATGCTTTAGCGTGTTCTACCTTACATGTTTTGTTATTGCATAAAATAGTGCACTATATTAACTGAATCCTCTGACTCGTGCATTACTCTATAACGATGGAACAACCACAGGCAGCAGAACGACAAACCGTTGTAATTAATCCCATACCTACAGAGATGCTACGGCTTATTCCACTTTTTAATGGCGATAAAAGACAGCTAAATTTATTTTTGAGGAAATCTGAATATGTCATTCGTAGGTATAGGGGTGACGAAGAACAAAATTTATATGTATATCACTCCATAACTAGTAGGCTTACAGATAACGCGGCGTCGCTCTTATCGGAACGTGAGGATGTCGAGACATGGTCCCAGTTGAAAGATTTGTTAACACAGCACTTCGGAGACCCGCGTAGCTAAGAGTGTATTAGTATTGAATTAGAATCCTTAAAAATTAAATCCGGTGAAAGCTTTCAAGATTTTTGTAACCGCATTCAAAGTATTCGATCATTATTAATTTCAAAAGTAAACATATCCGATGATAGTAATCTTAAAAGCGCTAAATTGGCAATTTACAATAATACGGCCCTAAACGTGTTCCTATACAATCTTCCCGAGAATATGGTTCGAATAGTGAGGTTAAAGAAGCCAGCGACTTTAGAGGACGCGCTGAGCATTGTACTGGAGGAAGTCAACTTCCACGATCAATACAATATGCGAAATCGTGTCCACGGTAGTAGCGGTTTAGGTTTAAGGCAGCCTCAAACATCAGTCCCAACGCAAGGATTCAAATTCGGTGGTACGCCTCACACAGTAATGCAACCTTACGGATACAAACCAGTATTACCAAGCAATAGTACACCAAAATTTAATTTCGGCATTCAAAATCAAAGCCAATTTAGGATGCCCCAATCTGGCTTTCGACCTCAACTGATGCAGCAGATGAGTTACCGTCCACCTCAATTCGGTTATCGGCCACAACTTGGCCAACAACCACAACAGTTCGGCTATCGCCCACAATTCGGATCTCAGCCACAACAGTTCGGTTATCGTCCACAATTCGGCTCTCAGCCACAACAGTTCGGTTACCGTCCACAATTGGGCTTTCAACCACAACAGTTTGGTCAAAGGCCTCAACAGCAATTTGGACATATGCCAACTACGCAATTCGGCAATAAGCCACAAATTCAGAAACCCAATTTTCAGGAGACT